ATAAACAGATGCTCATGTGAGTATACATCAAGAAACCTTAATGAAAGTCTATAAATATTTAGTGTTGAAGCAACACTGAAATAAAAAAGAAACAACTGAAATAAAAAAGAAAGTAAAATGGGCTTTAAATTTTTTTAATTGTTTTATTTGTTAAATGTAGGGCGCTTTGATGCATATATGTACAGACATATATACATATACACATGTGTGTATGCATATACATACATGCACATATATATCTGGGCACCATGGCTGCCCACAGAAGCCAGAAGAGGGCATCAGATCTTCTAGAACTGGAGTTATACAGATGGCTTTCAATCGTCATATGGGAGCTGGAAACCAACCAGGATCCTCTGCAAGAGCAGCAAGTGCTCTTAACAGCTTAGCCATCTCTTCAGCCTGCAACATTGTGGTTTTTGAGACAGGTTCTCTGACTGAATCTGGAACTCATCACTGATTTAGCTAGGCTGGTTAGATTTAGTTCTGCAAACTTCAGCAATTTTTCTGTCTCTATCTCCTCAGTTTTAAGATAATAAAGCGTACTACCACGGCTGGCTTTTTACATGAACTCTGGGAATCAAACTGAGGTCGAGGGCCTTGCGCATACACAGCAAGCAATTTACTTGGGCCATTTTCCAATCTCCAAAACATAAGATGAGGGTTTGGAGAGATGGCTCAATAGTTAAAAGAGCAGTTGCTGTTCCTCTAAAAGACCCAGGTTCAAATCCCAGCACCTACATGGTGGCTCACAACTGTCTGTAATTCTAGTTTCTCACATATTCATGAGGTACACATAAATATGCAGGCAAAACACCCATGACTTTGAGGAAGTTACACAGGCACAGGAACATCCGCTTTAAGACACAATGCCACCACACACCATGAATCCTTTCATTCTGCCTTTGCTAAACTACCCTAAAAATCAATTCCTCCCCCCCCCCCCCCCCCCCCCGTAGGAACAAAATGCCTCAGTGAAGAAAGGTCTGTCAGGCTAGGCACACTTCTGATCTCAGCACTTGGGAGATAAGAAGGCAGAATAAGTTTCAGGACAGCCACAACTACACAACAAAACCCTATCGCAAAAACTGAAACAAAACGGGTCAGTTAGCTCAGATGCAGTTACTGACCATTCTAGAATGTGCTGGACAGAGCGCTTAGATCAACATGTTTGTTGGCCTTTAGTCCATTGATTTCAGTACAAAGAGCAAGTTTAGGGTTCCGGTCATCCTCTAAAATGTAACACACATGCACCTACACTACTCACAACCTGAACACGTAAGCTTGATAAAATAGCTTATTGAAGTTAAGAGAGATTACGGAGTTAAGAAGAGTACCTGCTGCTCTTGCAGAGAACTCAGGTTCAGCTCCTACAATCCACATAGTGGATCATAACCATTTGTGTACTTTCAGAGGATCAGACACTCTCTAACTAACCTCAGTGGGCAATGGGTACACACACACATATATATATACACAGAAAATGCTTATACACATAAAACTAAAAACTCAAAAAATGCTTACTGCTTTATAAAATTGAATTTGTTATTTTAAAATTAAAGTTGCTGTGAATTGCTATCTATAAAATAAAGTAATTCAAACATAAATACTAGGAAAATAACTATCCCCTATTCAAAATGCCAGGCACCAGAAGTATTTCAGAACTTAAAGTTTTCAGATTAAGGATGTTGAACTTGTGTACCTTTAATCAGAACAAAGAAACTAAAGGAAGCAATCTTGAGCTCTCAGCTAACTGGGAAACTGTATCCCACTGCATGGAGACATTGGGTGTTTGCTTCATTTTGATATGGGTATCTCTGTTTAGCAGTGGCAAAGGGTTCCCTCAGAAAACAGTAAGGACTATTTCATGATAAAGCTTCCCTTCAGGAAGCAAATACCAGCTGAGGTGAAGAGAGGCAAAGGTCTCTAGCTGGGTCAGTCTCTAACAGTACAATTCTGGAATTAGGAATTCTCATCCCATCAAACAGAAGCTGCTAGATCTTCCTCCTATGGAACAAACTACTATTTATGTAGACAAACCCCCATGCCTACTCCATACACTTAAAATAGGCAGGACTAACCACAATTCTTTCCACAGAGGACTTAGAATCTAAAATCATTCAGAGCAGGCTGGGCATGGTGGTACATGCCTTTAATCTTAGTACTCAGCAGGCAGGCAGTTTTCTGTGAATTCCAGGCCAGTCTGGTCTACATAATGAGTTTCAGGACGTTTAAAGGTATATAATGAGACCCAGCCTCACAATAATTAATAATAGCAACAACAATAATAATTCAGAGCAATACCTAATTCGATAATATCATGGAGTGTTATGACAGGTATTCCTAATGACAAAACACCACGTCAGGGTATAAAGGGAAACTGTATAAAGGAAAAAGTTACATACTTCTCTACTCCACCTCCCAATCCCAGTTTTTCGAGACAGGGTGTCTCTGTGTAGCCCTAGTTTTCCTGGAACTAGCTCTCGAACTTAACCTCCCAAGTGCTGGGATTAAAGGTGTGCATCACCACCACCCAGCAGATATCAACTCCATTCTTAATATGAAAGGGATAAAAATATAACAGCCACAAAGGCAAAAGCAAAGGTTTTGACATTGTTGGTGGCACCTCAAGGCAAAGTTTGGCCTCTAAATTTCAAAATAAATCTAGAAAAATTTACCCAACCTAACCACAAACATCCCTCTGTTGGCAGGGGAAACGTTCCAAGGTAAAGAATCTATAATGGTCTTAAGTCTTTACTGCCAGAAATTTTCACCTTCGTATTATACATACAACCCCTGGAGGAGTCCGCCATTTCCATTACTTTGCCAACTAAGATCACCTAGCCATGCTCCATACGATCAGCTATCTGTATCTGTTCTGGTTCTCCAAATTTGTCATGTTCTCTCTCACCTACCATATTCTGATTTCTATCTTTCCTTGGGATAAGAGCCATCTCCTTCTGGAAACTTCCACTGGTCAACCTCAACTCTAAGTTCCAAGTTCCTTATCCCTTCATAGTGCTCCCGCAGCCTATAGGACTTCCTCTCTCAGTCTTTACAGCAACAGAAATCTTAACATAGGCACAATTAAACAGGTATGTGTGTGTGTAAAGCTCATTGTCTACCATGAAAGAATAAAAATTTCACCTACATGTCTGTATGTCACTCCAAGTTGGAAAGCAACTCTCTAATCACAAACTCTCACATAGAAGAATGCAAGCAAGTAACTATAACCACCACTTGCTGAATTTCCTTAAAACTATTTTATAGGGAGTGTTGGGTTAATTTCTGCCTCCTCTGCCCTGATGCTAACACCTAAAGACGTCAGCAGTGGTATGTACATAAACACCATCTTCCAGAAGTGATACTGCCACTTCAAAGTCAAAAGCATCTGTATGTGGAATAAAGTTTTAAATGTCAAGAAGAAAGGCTAGTTCAGAAAGGACTATGGAGATGGAGAGATGGCTCTGTAGTTCACTAGTTCTTTGCAGAGGACCTAAATTTGGTTCCAAGAACCTACATGGCAGTAGATAACCACCTTTAACTCCAGTTTCAGGGGATCTGATACCCTCTTCTGACCTTTTCAGGAACAAAGCATGCTTGGATTCATCCTCATTCTCTGTCTCTGTCTCTCTGTCTCTCTGTCTCTCTGTCTCTCTGTCTCTCTCTCTCTCTCTCTCTCTCTCTCTCTCTCTCTCTCACACACACACACACACGAACACACAGAGGCAGAACACTGGTACAGATAAAAGTAAAAAAAATTAAAATTTAAAGATTGAGACTCAGGGAGGAAATATGAACGAATCTATCAATGAAACCTGTGTGTATATATACATGTGTGTATGTATGTATATGTGTGTATGTTTTTTGTGATAGTGTTTCTCTCTGTGTAGCCCTGGCTGGCCTCAAACTCACAGAAATCCACCTACTTCTGCTTCCTGAGAGCTGGGATTAAAGACATGCGCTGCCACCACCTGCCACATACACCAATTTTAAGGTAAATACTCTGTCTTTTGGCCACAGCCTTAGCCTTCAAAACCCAAAAAGTAGATGAGTAAGAAAAAAAAAGCATGACTTTCTACTGCACATCTGAGCAACCGCCCTCTCTCAAAAGTTGACAGAACAGCAGAGACAATATAATTTGAAAAGTTTCAGTTCATTAGGTACATCAATAGGCAGTGGTATAATTTGAACAGTTTCACTTACTAATACATTAACAGGGGGTCAAACAGACTAAAAATCAGAAAGGAACTAAATGCTCTAAAAGTTTAAGAGGAAGGGAACACATTCCCTTCAGTTTTTACATAGAACTCATTCCTAAGCATGGCTGACCTAATCCAACTAACTCACATGTTTTACCGACCCAAACAACTAAGGCAGTTAGTAAGAATTAAACAGCTTCTGCACTAGAAAGGTTATTTTTCATCAGAATGTGGCTGACTTCAGGAAGACACTAACAACATCATAAGGCTTCCTTTCAACTAATAATGGTGCCTTGCAACTTTTAGGGCCAAGCTCCTAGTGAACAATGTTTCTGAAACCTAGGTTCTCAGACTCAGTAGGATCTGATTAAAATGTATCTACAGAAAAATCAACAAGTAATAACACTTCAATCTCATTTACACAAAGACCAAGATTATCAAACACTAGAGTAGAGGAAGGATCAACACCAGTGAAGAGTCAACATCACAGTGGTATACATAATTGTGACGCAAAGCTCATTCCTGAGAATGTGAGTAACTTCAGCTTGGCCAGTAGAACTGCAACGCATCCCATCTGACAGTGTCTACACAACTGTTCCTTTACCAGTGTCAGATGTGCCATGAAAACTTTACTGACCCCTCAAAGAACTGCTGACACCTTCTCTCTCATGCTGTCTAGGCCTTCACTGCCTTCACAAAGTCTTACACTTCTAAACCCACATTGGGGTCACTTGTAGAAAAGCTTAAAATTATATATTTGCGTTACTAGAGTTTCCATAAAACCTTTACACATGACCCCAAGGAAGAGAAAGAGGATTCTAGTCGTTACCAGAGTAGCCCTACTCCAGAAGGAAAATTCTCCTCTTTACATAATGACTTCTTAGAATTCACCAGTGGAATGCAATCCTCAGAAGACCACAGGCCAGTTGTGTGCTTATTTCATGGACAGCATCAATACTTTTGAGATTTCTACTCTCGGGTTTGAAACAGGACTCACTAAGGGTAAGTAGTAATGGTATGGGGAAAACTAAGTTCATATAGCCACATCAGCATGACAAGATAAGTAAAAGGCAATCCTTTAGTCTGGCCTGCCACATGTCCCTGATTCATGCTAGACACATCTTATGCATTTATATAACACTAACCATAAACATTCATGTCTGAAAAGTTATCTAACAGAAAAAGCTAGAGTTATCAAGCAAAAACAACCAACAAAATCCTATTCCAATACAAATGCCCTTTCATATTCATAAGGGGAATTCAACAAGAGCTGCTATGAGATTCAAAATTTTGGTGTTACAACACCCCAATCTCAGTAGCAACTGTGGCTTTCAGTTAAAGAACAGGTGAGATGTTGAAGCAGAAATTCTGAAGACTGTGTCAGAATCCAGGCCCACTACAAAACTTGTTCAAAATTGCTAACATCTGGGTCACCTGTATAAAAATGATGGTGTCAATCTGCTCCTCTCTTTTGGTAGGACATTCAAAGATCAACTCAGTACTGTTTTCCAATCAGTGTAGTAATAAAGTACTGTTATATAATACGCAGAAAAGAATTATTCCCTTGAAATTCTGAATGGAGGAAAAAAGCCAAAACAATTTCTTTTGGAAGCTACCCTCTTTTTTCTGGCTTTATAATGTTAAGTTCTTAATGACAATAAAACTAAGCCCACTTAGTTTAGCAACACAGTCATACTTCACTTTTTACCAAGCATGACAACAAGGCAATTGAACAGCTTTGCAAACTACCAGAGCAGAGGCGTACCTTGCATAGGCTGGCATTAAATCAGCACTTCATAAATCAATCGTGCCCATTTAGATGATCTCTATGCAGAATCAGCAGTCTAACACTAGCTCTCACACGCATTAGAAATCATCACTCTGCTAGTCCAACTCACTGTTCAGATGGTCTTCTTGAATGCAGCATTTATTACAACCTCATTGTTGCTTCCTACACTGAAGGAATACCAAATTCTTAAGTCGGGAGTTCTTCTTTCTCAATTTATTGTAAACAGGGGGTCTTGTAACGACCCTGACACTATTACAAAGCACAGTGCTTTTTAACAGTAAAGCTTCTGGAAAACCCAAACAAAAGACACGTCACCCGGTGACGTCAGCCTATATACAGTTCTGTGTGGTCGCAGCACATAAGCAAATCCATTCTTGTGCCGTTTCTCGGAAAAGCTTTTCAGTAAATGCACTCATGCTGCTCCAGAAGCTCTTCTCCGAGACAAGCCGCCCATCTGCCATCAACAAGTTAAGACCGACAGAACTAACAGCTGCGGTAAGGAAAGCCTGAAGCTCCGATGATCAGCAGTAATCGGAGGAGGAGGAAATTATTAACTGATAATCAAAGCTGATTTAAGGGATCAGAGCACCACAGAAAAAGAAACCGATGCTATCTAGAGGAATATCCTAAGGAAAAACCAATTCACCCTGGCAGATTTGAATTTTATTTGGAAATCCTGGGACACAGAAAACAGGAAACCGGTCAAAGGCTCCTGCATGTTAGAGCCTTTTACAGACTCACTGCGTTGAGTCTGACAACCTCGACTGAATGCAGCCTCCAATGTGCTCAGAAGAATGGGTAAGTCCATGCATTTCTATGGCATTTCTTTTACAATCAAAGAGGATTCACGCTTTTATAAAATAAGCCGGTGAATTCCCATTTTATGATGCAAATCACTTGTTTTCGGATTTTAAAATTTATGTAAAGGCATATAACACTAAGGAAAGGAACATGTTTTAATCTCTTTTATATATGGTTTAAGTTTTGTGTTCCAGTATACGAGGTTAATTTTTCTGCAGTAAAAGAAAAATGTTCCATGCAGTGAAATCTTTCATTATGATGTTACATTGTTGTTGTTTTCAACAGCCCCTGTGTTCTGCTGAAACATATCCTATCTTCTTGTTTTCCTTAAATTATATTCTGCAGGCTTACATTTCAAGTGGCCATTAGGGGCCCCTATGCTGGCAGCAATATATGCAATGAGTGTGGTTTTAAAAATGCTGCCTGCCCTGGGTATGGCGTGTCCACCCAAATGCCGCTGTGAGAAGCTGCTATTCTACTGCGACTCTCAGGGCTTCCATTCAGTGCCAAACGCCACAGACAAGGGTTCTCTGGGCCTGTCCCTGAGGCACAATCACATCACAGCGCTTGAAAGAGATCAATTTGCCAGCTTCAGTCAACTCACCTGGCTCCACTTAGATCACAATCAAATTTCAACTGTAAAAGAAGATGCTTTCCAAGGACTATATAAACTTAAGGAGTTAATCTTAAGTTCCAACAAAATATTTTACTTGCCAAACACAACTTTTACCCAACTGATTAACCTGCAAAATTTGGACCTGTCTTTTAATCAGCTGTCATCTCTGCATCCTGAGCTCTTCTATGGCCTTCGGAAGCTGCAGACCTTGCATTTGCGTTCCAACTCCCTGCGGACTATCCCAGTACGCCTGTTCTGGGACTGTCGTAGTCTAGAGTTTCTGGATTTGAGCACAAACCGTTTGCGAAGTTTGGCTCGCAATGGATTTGCAGGATTAATCAAACTGAGAGAGCTTCACCTAGAGCACAACCAGCTGACAAAGATTAATTTTGCTCATTTCCTCCGGCTAAGCAGTCTGCACACACTCTTCTTACAATGGAACAAAATCAGCAACTTGACATGTGGGATGGAATGGACCTGGAGCACTTTAGAAAAGCTAGACCTAACTGGAAATGAAATCAAAGCCATCGACTTAACGGTATTTGAAACCGTGCCTAATCTTAAAATACTCCTCCTGGATAACAACAAGTTAAACAGTCTCGATTCCAAAATCTTAAACTCCTTGAGATCCCTCACAACCGTTGGCCTCTCTGGCAATCTGTGGGAATGCAGCCCCCGAGTGTGTGCTCTCGCCTCCTGGCTGGGCAGTTTCCAAGGTCGGTGGGAGCATTCCATCCTATGCCACAGCCCTGACCACACCCAGGGAGAGGATATTCTAGATGCAGTCCACGGGTTTCAGCTCTGCTGGAATTTATCAACCACTGTCACTGCCATGGCTACAACTTACAGAGATCCAACCACTGAATATACAAAAAGAATCAGCTCATCAAGTTACCATGTAGGAGACAAAGAAATTCCAACTACTGCAGGCATAGCAGTTACTACAGAGGAACACTTTTCCGAACCAGACAATGCCATCTTCACTCAGCGAGTAATTACAGGAACAATGGCTTTATTGTTTTCTTTCTTTTTTATTATTTTTATAGTGTTCATTTCCAGGAAGTGCTGCCCTCCCACTTTAAGAAGAATTAGACAGTGCTCAATGATTCAGAACCACAGGCAGCTCCGATCCCAAACACGACTCCATATGTCAAACATGTCAGACCAAGGACCGTATAATGAGTATGAACCCACCCATGAAGGACCTTTCATCATCATTAATGGTTATGGACAGTGCAAGTGTCAGCAGCTGCCATACAAAGAATGTGAAGTATAATATCTACTCAGCATCAAAAATCACATCAGATAAGTAACCTATTTTACATTGTAGGGGCTAAATACATATCTAATTTTTACCAATTGTGACATTAAGCCTAATTTTCCAAATCAAGTGGAGACTTGAGTTTTTGAAGTGTTGAAGTATTTTTAATTTTTTTAATGAAAACATATTTTAAGTGTTAAATGAAGCAATGCTCATATTAATTTGCACTCTTGTTGGAAAATCTAAATGTTTAATTCAATATAAAACATTTCATGTATGTAATTATATACTATTGTATGTAAACATTTACACTAAGGTCTCCTCCATATATTATTTTTTTTTCTACTGAAAACAGTTCCGAAAGAAACTACTAAACAAAAATAGATAGGGATGAAAACCTGTTTGATTATTATGCTCCATCCCATGGACCACAACTGGCTTCCTGCTTAAAAGGAGACAGCAAAAGTTCTCTTGTAAGATAAAGTGGTATTTACTCAAACTATAATTTACTGCCAGTATGAGAAGTAGACTTACATGTGTGTTTAAGACTGGTAAATATTAAACATTATTCTTTCAGAGTTTGGCCTGGTTTAATAGACATTATCTAAGTTACATCATGAAACCAGCACCTTTTACATAACTCTAATAAAACCGGGTGACTCTTTAATTTTCAACAATAAATCCAAGCAATTATTTTAAAAGGTCTCATTATAATAAATCAATACTAAATAATTACACTGACTTCTTATACAAGTCTAGTTTGACTTATAATGGACATGCTGATTTTTGTGGCATTTAGACTATTATTTTAAACTAGTATTAAATTATCATTTTACTAATTAACTTACTAAATCCTAAACTTATGTAAAAACCTGCAGTTTGGAAAGAGAAAAACTGAGTCAACTTAACAATCCTGATATACTCCATCCGGTTTGAAAAGACAGCCCCTCTCATGATTAAAGATGCCTTGACAAACTGTTTAAGCTTCTTCCTTCTGTCTTTTTCTGATCTTTAAACCTCAAAGACCCAAATTAAAAATAATTGGGTACTAAAGATGCCTAACACTGAATCTTGTTACATTATAAAGAAACAATGAAAAATTAATTTCAAAATATGATGTTAAAGTTTGACCTTTAATAAAGATACACATTTATATTGTCAGCTCCTTTTGAGACAGAACTAACCTATTTCCGAGGCAAGTCCTAAGGCAGAACTCTTGATACAGGCCCTGCAGCCATACAACAGTAAGTGAAGGCAGAAGCTGGACTCTCAGGTTAGTGGAAGCTATGAAGCAGCAAACATTATTGTACAATTTGCACCAAATAAGCGATGCTCAGGGACCTGTATGATACAGAAGTAGGCTCTTTGGTGTAAATACGGATGCTCTCGTCATAATAACAAATGACAATGATGCCACATTTTTTTCATGAAGGAAAGAATCACAAGTGTTCAATTATGACTTCTTTAAAGCAAGTGATGACATACTGAGGATTTAGACTCAAGATACCAATTCATGTAGAATTTTTCTACAAAGAAGGCTCCACATATAGGAGAATACTAAACTTAAAGCATCAATTTGATTTCAGGAAAAAAAAAAAAAAAACAAGCATTCGTATGTGGAAAAAATGTATAAATCCTTAAAGAAAGGCACTAACATAAAAAAGGGAGGCATCCTTTCCTTAACATGGATATTTATCACTATATTCTTCACTCAAAGCTTATTTCCTCCCCAAGATTGAATTGAAATGTTACTACAGACCTAGATTCAATCACAATTTTCCTCTTTTAGCACAGAAAAAAAACACCCACATTTCAAATCTCTTAGCAAAAAGCAGACAATATTCAGGTTACAGTGAGAATATGTGTTCTTTATGTATTTAAGGTGGGTAGATTAGTTTGGCAAAGCCTCAGAGCAGTTCAATTCAGTTGATCTTGAGTGGCAAGCATTTCATCTCCTGATAACCCAGACGCTGGGCTTGTCTGAGCAAAGACAGATGCTGGTTTTCCGGCACAGAGCACAGCACACTGCTTCCCCACCGAGGTGGGGAAGAATTTACCAACTTGTATGATGGCGACCACTGCCATTTGTCAGGTGATAAGACAGCTTGTTCACAGCAACAGCTTTGAGCATACAAGACTCCATTGGCCCTAAAGGATAAGTGTTTTTTCCTCATTTCAAATGATAACCAAAATCAATTCGAACTGTGAGTTAAAAAGTAAGCAATATAACTAGGAACTCCAACTGACCCTAAAGGACATAGTTAATGAAGTATATGTAGCAGAGCAAACCATTCAGCACCTGAGAGCAGTGCCAAAGCCGCTGAGGCACACTATGGTGGGGGAGGGGAGGCACACACTGTTCATTTGTTTTTCCTTCCATGGTTTTGGTAATGGTAATGCCAACCAGGTATTTTCCTTTCTTACTTAAAGCACAAATTGCCATTTCTAATTGCCTCAGAAAGCAGGGTTCCATTTAGTTAACAAGGATTTGTACTGCAGTGCTATCAACTGGCCAGAGAAGAACTGCCTCACAGGAAAACCATTCATAGTTCCTAAGTCAAAAATGTGAGGGCTTTCGGGTGGGGTTTTATTCTCTTAAGCATTAACAACACACCTTTCCCTCTCCTCAATTTTAAGAGTTAGTGTAAAATGATCATCGCGAATCAGAAAAATGAAATGTCTACCTAGGAACTAAGAAGTAGTTTGCAACTACAGTGACTCATTTCCTTAGCCTACAGGAAATTCGAGCTTACCTTTCTGGAAAGTGAGCTGGTAAGTCTGAAAATCCATTCAAAACTCATAATACGTACTGCCAGCATCAAAAAGCAGACACTAATTTTTAAGCCAAATAATTGTATTATCACATATAATTTCTTAATGAGTCTAAGTTAATTTCTGTACCAATTCAATGAATGGAATTGACTGAACTTCCTAATTCTACTCACTAATTATTAAAGTCCATCTGCTTATTACAATGCTAGTCACTAAAGCTAGACCCTATCTTCCCAATAAAAGCCAGCTCTATGTAGACTGGTCTGAATTCTAAAATATGAAATAGTCTTATTATTTTCTTGAGTCACACTTCCCACACATAGCTGTGTAGGGGAGTGGGGCTATAAATTCTCTCTCTCTCTCTCTCTCTCTCTCTCTCTCTCTCTCTCTCTCTCTCTCTCTCATAGGAACTTTTAAAGAATATTTTAACAACAAGCTTACATGATAATTTTCCTAATGCAGCAATTCAGGGGCAGCACTATTTCAAGTCTGTTTGGAACAAATTTTTCATAGCTTCTCATAAAGTGCTTGAACCAAAAGATTTTTTTAAAAAAAAAAAAAAGACAACATGGGCCATCTATAGATAATAAGTACTTCTTTAGCTAACCGGGAGCAAACTCACAGCACTTGAAAAACCAGAAAATGACCACAGATGCTTTCTTATTCTACTATTGTAGACATCTGGAAACGTCTCCAACTCCTTCAACTAACCTTTTCTTCCCTTGAGTTTTTAAAATCAGTATGCTACATGGAACCTATGAACACTGAGACTGGAAACAGTCCAAATATATTTGTTCAATTACTTTTAAGAGCCATGGGGGGTGGGGTGTTGGGGGATAGGAAGAAAATATTATCATACAAGGAATCGGGTTGGGAAAACCATAATACAGTGTACAGGAAAGTTTTGTTATTAAAATTGTGTATACTGTAAAAAAAAACAAATGTCTCTTTTGTTTCTGATTTTCCCCTGAAATCTGCAAGTGCTGACAGGAAAACTTGAATAGGTATTTAAGAGAGAAGTAAGATGAACAACTGTTCTGTACCAAGCTGTTTCTCAGTGTCGATGTGCTTCAGGGTAGCTAATCATTACCCGTCTTTTTTCACAGAGGCAAAATCTGGTTAAGCAATGGGGAGGTGGGGGAGGCGGAATATGACAACATACAACAAACCACGTTAAAAGCTGCCACTCAATAGCCAGTTGTCACAGCCTTAACAAATGGATACAGAGTAGGGCTCATAAGCCCTGAGGTTGGTTGCTTCTCTCAATTCTCCTGGTACAACAGACAACCGCAGTCTGAAACAATTGAAAAAGCCACCCTGGTACCTGGACTTAATAAACTGAAACTTGGCCTCTATTTCAATGGGGGGAAAATGCCAGGATCATCTTACATCCCACTCCTGCCTGCAGTCCATAGATGCTAATGATGCTAGGAATATAAGCCTCACCATGTGGCTCCTCTACCCTAGACAAAAAGATCAAGAGGTATAAATGAGAAAAGCAAAGATTTTATTTTTTTTAAAGTGATTTTATTTGGCTTAAATACCCTCAGGCAGAATGCTATGCCCCTGCAATATCAGGTCAGAAACGGTCTAGGCTTCTAGGTACCAACTGCCATGGACGATTCACCTTGTTTGAACCTCCTGCTTATCCAGCCCCAAGGCTGACAGAGTTGCCCAATTTAGGGCTAGAGAGATAGTGTTTACAGTGCATCTGCAAAGACCTGAGTTTGGGTACCAGCACCACATAAAAAAACCAAGCATGTTACAAGTATGTTATATACTTGTAACCCCAGCACTAGAAGTGGGAAGAGATAGGATTCAGGTTGTCAGCCTAGCAAAAACCTATTAGCTACAGATTCAGAAATAAACTGCCTCAAAGAAGTCAAAGGCACAGTGAGGGAGAGCAAAGGACAACCCATAGCCTCGTCTGGCCTCCATATATGTGCACACAAATAGAAGCTTGGCCTCCACCTCAATGGAGAGATCTCAGCATCACCTTGTATACCACTACTAAAATGTGTACCCCTTCACATACACAAAGAGAAGCCAACTCCTTCCCAATACCCAGTGATTCTTGGAACCAGCAGCTATGAGAGCTCATGGTAGAAACCCAGTAACGACTTCAGAATAGAGGGGAAGGAAGCATAGCATACACTTTTAAAAAAATATTTATTTATTATGTATACAATATTCTGTGTGTATGTCTGCAGGCCAGAAGAGGGTACCAGATCTCATTACAAATGGTTGTGAGCCACCATGTGGTTGCTGGGAATTGAACTCAGGATCTTTGGAAGAGGAGGCAATGCTCTTAACCACTGAGCCATCTCTCTAGCCCTAAAGCATACACTTTTATATCAAGAATAATTGCACTGACACTAGCTAGCATCGGTAATGGCCATGTTACACTTTATAAAATGTAGTGGCTGGAGAGATGGCTCAGAGGTTAAGAGCACTGTCTTCTCTTCCAGAGGTCCTGAGTTCAATTCCCAGCAACCACATGGAGGCTCACAACCATCTGTAACGAGATCTGGTGCCCTCCTCTGGTGTGTGGGCATACATGGAGGCAGAATGCTGTATACATAATAAATAAATAAATCTTTAAAAAATAGTAATAATAAAACATAGTGGCATTTCATTTGTATTTTAATAAATAAAGCTAACCTGAAGGTCAGAAAAGCAAGACAGCCAGTTACTGGCTCTTACCTCTACCTCAGTCAGAAATGGCGATCCTGCCTCCAGGAATCTCAGAATGAGACTGAGACTGAGAGCTGAATCCTCCCATTTTATAACCCTCTCTAGTTCTTGGATTAAGGGTGTGCACCACTACCACCTGGTTTCTATAGAAACAAGTGGCTGCTGGGATTAAAGGTGTGTGTCATTGCTGCCTGGTCTGTAAGACTGACCAGTGTGGCTGTTTTACTTTTCTGATCCTCAGTCAAGCTTTATTTATTAAAATACAAATGAAATGCCACTACAAAAGAAGGAGCAAATTCCTATACTTTATGGGGCAAAAAGTAGGCAGAGCTTATTAATATAATTATCTTACATTTTAATTTTAAAATCCCCATGTAGTTACTCTGACTTCTCTAAGAATTGTCTTTGGATTGCCTGGATGACCACAGACTTTTAGGTTCCCACTGAAATACAAAGAAGACATTCCTCTCAATGTTAATTTAAAGTGATTCCCACACTCCTTTTTATAAAAATGTGCGAGTGTAATGAGAAGTCTTAACCCATAGAGCCTCTCTCTGTGCCCTCCACCCAGTCTGGCAACAAAGCCTAACTTAAGGCCTCAAAGGACTCCCTGCTTAGAAGTCAGGTCTATGGAGCATCTGTGAACAACATTACCTGACAACAGCTGATGTCGCATCTCTTCCACGAGAACCATACTTTAAAACTGCAGCTCCAGAAACAATTCTCAATGCCTTTTTTCAGATTTCAAGAGGCTTTACCAAGAAGCACAGGGAAGGTGTACAAAGAGCGGTGTTTAGGATAAACTACGCTGCACAATCATTCACAGGTGGGCTTGGAGCTCAGCTCCACCATCAGACTCTGGTATTCACAGAGCAGAGTCACCAAAGCTGTAAGTTGCTTTTTCTAAAAAATGATCAGATAAGAATCAATAGCCAGTCATATTAGCTGTTTTGTTATTTTAGGGGCCAAAATATTCTCATGAAAACAAAATATTTCCCACAGGATACAGTTCAGTGATTTAGTACTTGCCTAGCATGTGTGAGGGCTGCCTCTCCCTCCCCACAGTCTTAGCTGTCAGATAAATGAAGACCAACTGGTTGGTGCCCAGAACTTTAAAAACAATGTGGCTATAATTAAATAGAGCCCAATTCTATAGAATTAAAAAGGTAGACTACATTGATATGTGCACAATAGCTAAATTGGATGCAGAATGATTAAAAAAGCCAAAATTCTAAACCTCAAAGGTCCAGAATACGATTAACAGACTTCAAGAATCTTTAGAAATTAATACAATATTATGCATGGCTGCAAAGATTAAACTGAATCCTAGAGTGTTTTAATAATTCATAATTAAGGATTAGACAGCACTGTCAGAGCAACAAAATAAGTTTTTGAACTTGATCTTCCTGGTGACTAAGGCAAAATCAAAAACAACAGCTCTCATCTGGTAAAGAAGAGGCTTTAGCCAGGTGTAGTGGTAAACCCAGCATTCTGTATGCGGAAGTAAAAGAATTACAAATTAGAGCCCAGCCTGGGTAACAGAGCACGATCTCAAAGAGCTAGTTCTAGGACAGGCTCCAAAACTATAGCGAAACTCTGTCTCGAAAAGCAAAAAAAANAAAAAAAAAAAAAAAAAAAAAAAAAAAAAAAAAAAAACCCAAAACAAAACAAAAACACTGCTTTATTTAGAGGAGACTGTTACACGCAAAATTCTGAAAAAAAAAAAATGGAGTCAGATGTGGAAACAGTAAGAAAAAATGTCAGATGGAACCACTAAGGAAGACTTAGAAAATCAGCAGACCTGCTCGTCGAGTCAGTTCTTGATAAGCAGCCCACTGGCTCATGCTACATTCTTTGTGATCAGCCAAGGCTGGAACCCAAAAGGCCTACAAAATGAGTAATTTATTTCTTCCTTGCCACATCTTAAACTATGTAGTTCCCGCACATATACAGGACACCCAGTAAATAGCTAAATAAATTCACATTTCTTCTATCTCTGACTATGAGTCTGTAAGATAACTAATTTCCCAAGAAAGAACAGGTTTAAATAGATAAAGCAATCACCAAGTTTACCAGCAGAGGGCATCATCCCATAAAGCTGGAGTGGCAAGATGGCTGTAAGCCTCCATGTAGGTGCTGGGAACTGATACAAGGTCCTCTACAAGGGCAGCAAGTGTTCTTAACCCCAAAGCCATCTTTCCAACACTTATTGTTTTCTCTTTATTAAACAATTTTTTTAAGTTTTATATGTGTGAGCCTGCAAGTATGTCTGTGTACCACATGCATAGAGTGCCCAAAGAGGGCAGAAGAGGGTACTGGATCCCTCTGGAGGTAGAGTTACAGAAAGCTGTGAATCACAACATGGACACTGGAATCAAACTCAGGCCCTCTAGAAGAACAGCTGGTGATCTTAACTGTTGAGCCATCTTTCCTGTCCCTATTTGTTAGTTTTTGTTTCTTTTTTTATGTGTTTGTTTGTTTTGGCCTTTAGAGACAGGGTTTCTCTGTGTGGCCCCAGCTGTCCTGGAATTTGCTTTTAGACCAGGCTGGCATCAAACTCAGAGCTCCATCTATCCCTGCCTCTGGAGTGCTGAGATTAAAGACATGCTGTCCCTCACAGCTCTCTGTTTGTAACTCAGGGTGGCC